GAGTGCCTCTTGTGCTGCCTCACTTTCTTGAAAAATTTCAATTTTTATTCCATCTATTCCTGGTACCTTGTTCTTTGCCAATTCTTTCACTGCGCTTTGGACTTCCTCCCGGAGTATCATTGGCTCTTATTCATATGGTACCTCTTGAAATGGTTGAACATTAACCATGTGTCGTTGCAATGCACAATGGAACCTACTAATGTTCCCTGGTCTCGTGTCACGTTACAGGTTGAACGATTGTGATCCATTGTGTTTTCATTAATAATTTTTGGACTTAGATCACCAGGCATTTTTTTTTTAGTTTATCTTTGTTTGGAAGTGCCACTGAAACCTGTTCAACATTCTGGGAACACACAAGTCTTCACTGACAAAGAGCTCGTGGCTGCACATGAGAAGCATTGGCTAGGAATCTGACACACGGGAGTTCCATCAGTCAATATTGATTCAATGTCAACTGTCTTTTGTTTTGTCTTGACTGAGTTGGGGTGGGTGAGGGGTGTAGAGTTTAATATCTATTCCAGTTAAAACCCAGAATATATAACATTGTAGATAGATAGCTCTGGAAATCGAAAGGCAATCTAGCTTTCCTGCTTCATGTCTTAGGTGAAGTTTTATATATTTGTATTTCAGTCAGTCAGCAGATAATTATAGAGCACTTACTTTGTGATAGACACAGGGAAGTCCATGACAGACAAGTTTCATGGAGCTTATGTTTGGATTTCAGTAGCTGTTGTTTTTTAGATCTAACTGTTAGTGTAGTGGTTACATATTGGGTTGTGAACCTCAAGGTCAGCAGTTCGAAACTACCAGCTGCTCTGTGGGAGAAAGATGAGGCTTTCTGCTCCCGTAAAGATTTACCGCCTTGGAAACCCTGTTCAGGGTCGCTATGGGTCGGAACTGACTCTATGTCACTTAACAACAACAACAACAACTGTTAGGCATGATTCTGTTGTCTTGACACATACTTTGTTTAATGGAATACTGCTGCAAGTTGGATTTATAATTTGTATGGATAATAACAGTAGACATGAAACAGGCTTTTTTTTTTTTTTTAAAGCAAAATTAAGTCTTATGCAGATTCTGTGGATTAATCTTTTTTAGTTGTCTGCATCATAATAAGCTAGAATTACCTTTTTTCTGTTTTCTGAACTAATTGAGTTCCTCCTCACTTTTACCGATAGATGAAAGCAAACCTTGGAAAATGAGAAAAAATAGACATTTTTCTACATATTGTACTGATAGAAAGTGCTTTCTATATTGGTAAAGCCCAGTTATCATGGATTATCAAACTAGCTGGACTGCAAAGTCAGTGTGATCTGCCAAGTTGGCGGTTCAAGCTCACCAGCTGTTCCTTGGAAACCCTATACCGGGTCGCTGTGGATTCAAATCAATTCAGCAGCACTTAACAACAATCAAACTTTTATGTTTTGTTCATTGCCAAGCAAGTAATTCTAAAGTAGAATTCAACTCCATAGTTCTTTACTTTTTAGATAGCTGATTTCTTTGAAATTGTAACTTTCTTTCAGATTAGTGAAATGTTTGAAGCCATAGAAGACAACTCTATAAACTGTATTCTGAAGTTAAGTAGATTTAAATATAGCACATATATGAAATCAAGATAAATGATTGCCTTAATTCCTTGTTAGTATTGGAATGAAGTTAAATAATTTAAATGAATTTTGGAAAATTTTAAAAAGAAAGCATATTAATGTAAAATAATTATAGTAGTTTAACAGATTTTCCTTGTGATTAATTGTAATATGATTTACTATTTTGAAAACTTTCTCTTTTAATTTCTTTATTTGTTAATGCAAAACTTCAGTGATAGTTGATTATAATTGTGTTCAAAAGATTTCTGAGAAAAGTTTTACGTTATGGTTCATCTTACAAAGAAACCACATGAGATTAATATTAAGAGGCTCAGATTGCTTGTTTTCCTTCAAGAATTCCAAGATGTGAAACATTAGTAATTAATAAAAAATTCGCTATTTTATCAGTGTCTGCTGTTAAGTGTTGTAGAGTCAATTCTGACTCATAGCAACCCTCTGTGGGTTCCCAAGGAATGACTGGTAATTTGAACTCCCAACCTTGTAGTTAGCATTGCAATGCTTATCCTACAGTGACACATAAGGACTCCATATCAGTATCTAGAGACATGTATATGCCCTCTGGTAATTTCAATATTAGTAAAACTAAGTTTATAATTATGACCTAGCAAGATTTATTAGAATACAAATTATGTATCTTTGCAATGCTAGTGTATGCTGTTCTTTTAGTTCATTGTGAGACTTTTTTTTTTCTGCTTATTCCTCCCATTCCCAGAAAATTGTCATACTAATGTAAGTAATTGAAATGATGTCAACTGTGTGATTTTCTTTTTTTTTAACGTTTTAATTTTCTGTAGGTAAAAGTTTACACAGCAAATGAGTTTTCCATTTAATAATTCATATACAGATTATTCCGTGACATTGGATGACCCTCCCTGTGTCCACCCTGCTTTCCCTGGTCCAGTCCTGCCTTCTCACATTTGTTTTTTAGAAAGATACTGTCCTTTTTGGTCGTGTATAGTTTATAGTCCTAAGGTGCACATTCCTCACTGTATTATTGTTAATTTTATAGGACAGTGTGTTTGTTTGAAAAGTTGTCCCTGGAAGTACCTTTGCCTTCAATTCCGACTTAGAGGGTTGGCTTAGGGCAGTAGTTGCAGGGGTTCTTCCAGTCTCTATCAGACCAGTAAATATGCCCCCACCTTTTTTTTTTTTTTTTTTTTTAAAGTGAGCTTGAGTTTTGTTCTACATTTTTCTCCCATTCTAACTAGGATCTTTTATTGAGTCCCTGAAGAATGGTAGGTAGTTGTAACTAAGCATCATCTAGTTCTTCTAGTCTCAGGCTGGAGGAGTCTGTGGTTTATGTGGGGCTATAGTTCTTTGAGCTAGTTGCTGCCTTGAATCTTTGGTTTTCTTCATAACTCTTTGCTCCAGGTGGAAAGAAACCAATAGTTGTATCTTAAATGGCTGCTTGTGGGCTTTTAAGAACCCAGATGCTATTCACCAAACTAGGATGCAGATCATTGTCTGTAAACTGTGTTGTGCCAATTGATACAACTGCCCTGTGAAATTGTGGTCCTTAGTTAGCCCTTCAATACCAGTAGCTCAGTCCCATGAGGTGTTTGAATATGTTTAAGAAGTTTCCATGACTGTGCCTCTATGTGCGTATCCATTCAGAACATCAAATTATATATGTAGGAAAACCCACAACCATATGTATATGTGTGCACATGATGGTAGTCTAGCCCAACCTTCCATACCTATATAAACTGCAAATCTACTATGTATCCATTCAGCAATTACCAATTTCAACTGTGATTTTAAAGGCTGAATTAGCATTCAAAAATAATTTAGAAAATCACTGATATCTATGAAATAGTATCATAGTTCTTGGTGTCTATGAATATGATGGAGAAGCTGATAAGCTGTTGCCCATTTCATTCTAAGTTTTAGACAAGAAAAATGGGATTTAAATATCAGAGTGACATTACATTACGTAGAAGGAGAATTCTCTGAATGTTGAGAACTTAATACATGAAATGGTTTGTGAAGTATTCTGTTTGGGGTGTTTTCTTCTGTCCCTCACCCATTTGCCTATTGTAGACATCTGCTTTGTGATCTCTTTTGTGGAATTAAGTGTTTCAAAATAAGATTGGTGTTTTAAATCCTATAATTTCACTACTTTTTTCCCTTTTATTTTTAGGGGGAGCATATTATTTAATATCTAGAAGCCTGGGGCCAGAATTTGGTGGTGCAATCGGCCTCATCTTCGCTTTTGCAAATGCTGTTGCAGTTGCAATGTACGTGGTTGGTTTTGCAGAAACTGTGGTGGAGTTGCTTAAGGTAATTCACTTTTTCATTGAGTCATTAATTTACCAAAGTTTTATTGAGGCCTATGTGTCACTCAGGAACTCTGGTAGCGTAGTGGTTATGAATCGGGCTGCGAACTGCAAGGTCAGCAGTTCGAAACTACCAGCTGCTCCATGGGAGAAAGATGAGGCATTCTGCTCCTGTAAAGATTAACAGCCTTGGAAACCCTGTGCAGGGTCGCTGTGAGTCGGAACCGACTCCACGGCACATAACAACAACAACAACAACAATGTGTCACTCAATCTGAATGCCTGAAAAGCAGTGATGTACAAGCAAAAGAAATTTGCCCTTGAAGACATTTAGTGGGGGATGTAGACAAAGAAAAATTTTAGAAAGTATGGAATGAGAAGTCCTTAATTGAGGAAGTCTTTATAACACAGAGTAAGTGAGGCACTTAACCTTTTATTCAGGAATAGGGATGATGGGGGAGCATCATCATGGAAGGGTTTCCTAAGGAAGGGTGTCTAGACATTAGTAGGTTTATTTTGAGGCTTGATGGACCTGGGGTAGAAGGAGAGTAAGGAAGAACAGGAAACAAAAACCAGGAAATGGTAGAATACAGTGCATTAAGGAAGCTAAATATTTTACCATGATGGATTATAAAGTGGCAAGATCAAGTCATAAGGCTCTTCTTGTTTACAATTTCAAGTTTGAGTCTTTTTTTTTTTTTTTTCCATTTTAACACTTTATTGAATGTATAATTTTTATGTCTTGATTGGAGTTGAAGATTATGATGATCAGATTTGTACCCCAGAGAAATAGCTGACCATAGGCCAGAAAATGGATTCAAGGGATCACAACTAGAGACAGCGATCACTTCAAAGTAGCTACCTCAAAGAAGAAATGTTGGCATTAAAACAGTGGCTAGTAGAGCTAGAGATATATGGGTGAATTTGAGAGACTTAGAAGTTGAACAAGTGGAACTTTATAACTGATTAGATTTGGGGAATTAGAGAAAGATCAAAGTGTCCTGTTTATTCACAAATGTCTGGCTTCAGTAGTTTGGTGGAAGGTCATGCCATTTATTGTGAGAAAGTGAACACAGAAGAGTTTAGTGTTAGATGTGCTAATTTAAGGAACTGGGATTATATCAAGGAGAGTTTCCAGAAGGCAGATGATAATACTGCTGTGGTGTTCAGAAGAGAACGTGTTTAAAGAGATAAAATCAAGAGTCATTGAGATGTATGTAATTAAAATACTTGAAAGTGAAACAGGAATCCTCAGTATGAATAGATGAGAAGAACCTCAATCAACACCTGTATTTGTTCATGATAGGTTAGTTTGTAGCTCTTTTCTTTTAGAGTAGTATGTAGTATATTATACTAAAGTCACCAAACAAACCCACACCCATAGAGTTGATTATGACCCATAGTGATCCTATAGGAAAGACTAGAACTGCCCCTGATCTTTATAGTAAGGAGCTCTGGTAGCATAGTGGTTACGAATCAGGCTGCGAACCGCAAGGTCACAGTTCGAAACTACCAGCCACTCCGAGGGAGAAAGATGAGGCTTTCTGCTCCCGTAAAGATTTACAGCCTCAGAAACCCTGTACAGGGTCGCTATGGGTCAGA